GCAAGAGCCGCGGGAAGCGGCGGCGGCAGCCCCAGCAGGCCCCGCTGGTGCATCCCGCCGAGCCTGAGATCCGGCTGAAGTACATCTCCTGCAAGAGGCTGCGGGCAGACAGCCGGGCCCCCACCTTCGCTCCCTACGTCCGCGTGGAACGGCGCGGGGAGTTCACCACCACCTGCACCATCATCAACTCGCCCGGCGACGAGGCGCGGCTGCAGCGGGGACCGGCGGGGCCGGCGCCGCGCCCGCGGGCAGCCCTGCCCGCCTCCTCCACCATGCACATGGGGCCGGTGGTGTCGAAGGCGCTGAGCGCCGCGTGCCTGGTCTGCTGCCTCTGCCGCAACCCCGCCAACTACAAGGACCTGGGGGACCTTTGCGGGCCCTACTACCCCGAGGACTGCCTGCCCAAGAAGAAGTCGCGGCTGAAGGAGAAGGCGCGGGTGGAGGGGCCGGGCGAGGACACCACCGCCCCCGCCGTGGCCGAGCGGGTGCCCCGCGGGATGGAGGGCGGCTGCGGCGCCGGCGGGAAGGCGGCACGGCCGGAGGGTGCAGCCGAGGCGGCCAAGCAGAGCACGCTGCGCTCCAGCCCGCGGGGCATGTTCCGTAGGCTGCAGAGCTGCTACTGCTGTGACGAGAGGACAGAGGGCGAGGAGGCGGCCGAAAAGCCCCGGCGGCACGAATGTCACAAGGCCGAGTCCCCGCCGCAGGAGCCGGCGGGCGACACGCAGGAGCACTGGCTGCACGAGGCCTGTGCCATATGGACCGCTGGGGTTTTCCTGGTGGCAGGGAAGCTCTACGGGCTGCAGGAGGCTGTCAAGGCGGCTGCCGACCTGGTAAGAGCTGGGCCGCACACCCAGCGCCACATCCCGAGGCAGCATCTCCCGCTGGCCTCCTTCAGCCAGTGTCGTTACTGGGACTGCGCCTCTGGTCGGGATGAAAAATTAATAGTTTTGCCCTGGGAAAGCAGGGCAGGTGCTCAGTGCCATGAGCCCCGCTGGGTCCCTGTGAGATTTGTGCTGCTGCATCTCTGACAGAACTTAAAACCTCCTTTTTTAGGTGCAGAAATGTATTTATGGGGTTATGTTTTGGGCCCCCCAGGACTGTCACATCCTCTGGTCCAACCACGCATCACATGGGGTGGCTCAGAGTGGGACAGATCCAGCAGGAATGGGAGATGAAAGTAGATTCAGCATGGGCTGGTGCTGTGGTGATGGGCAGCAGGGGAAGGGGAGCTGGAGGGATGGGATGACCCTGCCCTGCCCCTCTCCCAGACCCATTGGAGCACGGGCACATGGAGCAAGCAAAATAAGGAGGTCACTGATGGAGACCACCAAAGGGGGATGAGAAGCTGTGGATGCTCCATCCATGGAAGTGTTAAAAGCCAGGCTGGACAGGGCTTGGAGCAACCTGGTCTAGCGGAAGGTGTCCCTGCCTATGGCAGGGAGTTGGAACTAGATGAGCATTAAGGTCCCTTCCAGACCATTCTGGGATTCTGTGACATGGGGTTTCTGTGATGGGGAAAGGGAGGGGACAGTCTCCTGGCAGAGTCTGGGCAGAGGGTCTCCAGCAAGTCCTGTATTCCTAAGCCTGAGTGCTCATGTCATGGCTGTCTGGAGGCCTTCACCACAGGGCCAGGGGCTCCCATCCCTGCAGCACCTGTTGGGCACAGGGCAGGAGATGGGGACCACCGTGGTCCTCTACCACCTCTTCCACCCAGCCATGGCACAGCCCAGGTCATGTCCCTTCTCCTCCGCATCTACTTCCCCATGGAGCATGGCTGCAGGCTCTGCCATCCATGGGAGGGGTACAGCAGATAGAAACCTTGTGCATGGCTGCAGATGGTCGAGGTACAGTGTGGTCCATGGTGTGCTGGCACAGGAGGGGGGATATTCCCTGGGATAGGCAATGAGGGCCTGGAGAGGAGCAGGGACACCCACCTTGCCCTCAGTGCTGGGGCTGTTGAGGTTCTTCGCTCCTGTGCAGGGCTCTGACGGGGTTTCTCTCTCTCTCCACATCTCTTCTTCCCTGCTCCAAATGCCCGGGTGCATTCACAGAAGTGCTCGAGCTGCCAGCAAGTGGGAGCCACTGTGGGCTGCTGCCAGAAGGGGTGTCCCCACACCTACCACTACGCGTGTGCCATCGACACAGGTGAGCCCCACTGTGGGGACGGGTGTGGGGTACCTGGGCACCCTCTGGACTTGGGTCCCATTGCCCCAAGGTCAGGGTGAGCCTGTGGCTCCCCACCTGCTGGGATGGTGATGCCCACTGCAGCATCAGCACTGGCATGTCTCTATCTGGCCTCAGCTGAGCCCTTTATACAAACTCTGCAGCTGGTCTAGGAGGTGGTGGGTGGCCATGGACCAGGGGGCCAGTGTGTCCTCCCTGCCCAGGGACAGTTGTCTTGCAGTGTGAGGTCTCCCCTGACATGTCCTTCTCTGCTCTCAGGTTGCTTATTAACTGAGGAAAGCTTCTCTCTGAGATGTCCCAAACATAAGGTAAGCCCAGAGCTCCCCTGTGCACCTCCTAAAGCTCCACAGCTCCCTGGGCCAGCAGGACCTGCCTTCCAACCCCAAATTCCTGGGGACACCCATCCTGGGCTCTCAGCCCTGCGTGGGCATTGTGGGGGGCATCGCATCCCTGGGGATACCGGGGAGGTGGCCAGTGAGTGGGTGCTGGGTCTGGGACCCCCAGCCGGGCTCTGGGGTGGGGGTCTCCCCCTTCTCTGAGCACCGATGAGGTGGTGGGTGATGGTTGAATCCCTGCTCTAAGCACCGCGTCCTGGATGGGTGCCCGGTTATTGGCGGGGGGTGCTGATGGGGACATCCCAAGGCTATCCCCCTGCTTCCATCGGGACCCCCGGGCTGACACCCCCCTTCTCCCCGCAGAGGCAGCCGGTGTAGCGCCCGCGGGCACCCGCCCCGCCGCCAGCGAGGGACCGGCGGAGGAGGCAGCGGCCGGAGCAGAGCGGGGCCGGGCCGTACCGGGTACCCCCCGCTGCCCGTGAGCGCCCCGGGACCCCCCGAGCCCGCTCCGGGCGGGCGGAGCCAGCGCCGGGTTTTCCCCCACGCCGGGCCCCGGTAAAACCCGGTCTGGATACGCGGAGGACGGATCGGGATCCCCCACCCGCGATGGCTGCACAGGGGGGGGGGGTGGTCCTTGTACAAGGGGGGGTCCCGGCGATGTTGTCTTACTGTGGGGCCGCCGGACTCCCCCGTGGGTCCCGGCTCTCCATATCACACTGATCTGATCTGAGATGTTGCCTTCAGCAAACCTCACGGTGTTTGTATATAGTTCAGCGGAAAAAAGGATTAAAAAAAAAGACAAAAGACCAAAAAAAAAAGTAGAAAAAAGAGAAAAATGAGGAAAAAAAAAAAAAAAAGACAAGCAACGGCCTGCTGTTTGAAACACCACTCTGCTTTTTCCGTTTCGTTCTTCCATCTCCTGTCTGCCCCCACCCACACCCAGGGTGCCAGGGGGGCGAGGGGTGCTTGGCTGGGCCGGTGGGGAACCCACTGGGCTGGCCCAGCCCCGCTCCTGAACCCCAAACCCTGACGCATTGCACCCACCACCCTCACACTCCATGGGGCGCTGGCACTGCTGGGCTGGGGACACCTGGTCCTGCTTGTGAGGACCCCCAAAGCCCACCCTCCTGCCTCTGCTGGGCCTCGCCAGCAGCCCCTCTGCGGCCCCTCGTGCGTGGGGCTTTGCTCCCTGTGCTTGTGCTGAATGAACCCTGACTTTGGGTACAAACCCCATGGCTCTGGGTACAAGCCCCAGGATCGGGGTGCAAAGCCCATGGCTCTGGGTTCTGAACCAGAGGAGGAGAAGGAGGCATTTGCCTCATCCCTCCTCGTGGCCCTGGCTCACCCCTCTCTGCCCTGGGTTTGCTCGGCTCCCTCGGCTTTTGCTTCCCTTCCTGGCTGCCTCGGTGGATCTGGGGGGCTGCCCAGACCCCCTGCCCATGTCCCCAGGCTGCACACCCCAGCCTTGTGTCACCTGCACACCGACACAGGCAGCAAACAACCAACCCAGGGCAAACCAATCCCAAATCCCATCTTAAAAACAGCCACCAGCCACCCCGCAACTCCAGAGCACCCTACAAAGGGGAGCACAATGCTGGCCCCATCTGTGTCCCCCGCAGAGCCAGCGCCCTGGTGTCCCCACCACCTCTCGTGTTCCCTCCATCCCACCCATCTCTCACCCCAGGGTTTGCTGGCCACACAATGTCTGTCGTTTCAGCAGCTGCCTCGGACACGGGAGCGAAAAACACAAAAAAGGAGGCGAGAAAAATAAAAAAAAAAAAAAAAAAAGGGAGAAATAATAATAAAAATAATTAATTTAAAGACTAAAAAAAATAAAAATCCCGGTGTCCTTGGCAGTGTTGCCTGAAATCTGGCTATTTTTAGTGACATCTTGTACATATGACTGTAAAATGGTAAACCGTGTGTATTATATATTGCCTCATTATATAGTGTATATATATGTATACATATACATATATATAATATATATGAAGACTGTAAATGTTAAGACTAGTGTTCTTATTAGTATATTGCTTCACACTGAAGATTGTGTGTAACAAGCTGTTTCTAAAAGATGTTTATTTTCCTTAAGAGTAAAAAACAGGTCATTGCATTCAGAGCGTCAATAAAGATACAACGATTGTTTTGGAAGTACGTGGCGCCCTGCTCGTGGCCTCTCTTTATCTTTGGGGGCCTGGTGGGGTGCCCCCCGGGCTGTGCCAGCCCCTGGCTGGTCCTTCATCCCTGAGGGTCTCACTGGTGCAGGTGGGATATGGAGGTGGAGGGGGCAGCACCCCTCGGGACATCCTGGATTAAGGAGGGGGTGTTTGGGGTCTCTTCGCACCCAATGTCCCCATCCCTGCCACGCTTCTCCCCCCCATCCCATCAGCCCTGTGGGAGCAAGGCAACCCCAGCTGCAGGGGGTCCCTTGCCCCCTAATTTTAAGTGTCAGCACCCCCCCTCAAATCCAGCACACACCGGTATAAATAATCAGCTTTAATTGTCTGTACAAAACTCTCCAACTATGAAAATACCGTTTAAAAAGGGAAAAGGGGAGCGGGGGGAGCCAAGGGGTGGGGTCTATATACAGGAGGGGTGAAGCAAGGGCACGGGGGCACCCACCAGCCCCCCAGGAGCCCCGTGCCACCCTGCCATCCCTTCTCCAAAAACCTGTCCATGCTCAGGGGTGGTGGCAGCTCCTAATGGGGCGACTGGTCGGTGCTGGGGGTGGGGGATAGGGTGGGTGGTGGGGGTCCCCTCTTGCCCACCATGGGCATGGCTGGGCAGAGGTCGCTTTGCTGATGCCATGAAGCCAAAACTACCCCTCATAGTGGGGGCAAAGCCCCAAAAACAAGGGGTGCTGCAGCAGTGGGATCCACGGTGGGCCGGGCAGGGACCCCATCCTGCGCGTTGGGAGGTACAGGGGGCACAGGGGGTACAGGTGACACCGAGGGGTACAGGTGACACCGAGGGGTACAGGTGGCACCGGGGGCAGCTGCCGAGCGTCCCGTGCCCTGCAATACTGTGACAGTGTCACTAGAGGTCTCCACACCTCGTCCCCCACGCGGGTTGGGGACACGGACCGTGTCCGTGGGGTGGAGAGCCCACCCGGGGTACCCCGCGTGTGGCTGCCACACGCTGGGGCACCCCCGCCCTGCACCCGCATCAGATACCACCCTGTCCCTCCCCAGCCACCTCAAAAACCGCTCCCCAACACCGTGTCCTGTGGGGAAACTGAGGCACGTGCCCCCTGTCACCCCACATCCCACACCCAGGGGGGTGGCGGGGGGCTGGCAGCCCCCTCCCCACCTATCCCGACGTGACGGTGGTGCCGCTGCCCAGCTTGATGATCATCTGCTGGCAGTCGTGCAGCGTCCGGCGGTCTCCCAGCTTCTCCAGCGTGCGGGCGGCCTCGGCCAGCATTCCCACGCGCTGCCCCGGGCCCGCCAGGAAGCTGGGCGGGAGGTAGCAGCAGGCCAGCAGCAGCGCCTCGGCGTGTTCCCGGGGCGTGGGGTGGCTCTCTGGCTCCCCAGCTGCGGGGGGACAGAGCAGGGGTCAGCACCAAGGGGGGTGGAAGCCACTGAGTTGACCCTGGGGGCTCTGGCACAGGGATGGGGTTATTCGCCCACCCTGGAGTGGGTGACACAACCAAAGGATGGGCTGGGAGTCCATGTGTCCCACAGGGATGCTGCCAGTGGGGTGTCCCACCCCATGTCCCATCATCCATGGTGCAAGGGTGCTGCAGGTGGGGAAGGGGTGTCCAACCCTGTGTCCCACCCCATGTCCCACCACCTAAGGCTGCTGGAGAGTGCTGCAGGTGGGCAGTGGGGTGTCCCACCACCCAAGGTTCTGGGGCGCTCTGAATGTGGAGCGAGGTGTCTCATCCCATGTCCCACTCCATGTCTCAGCACCCAGCGTGTTGGGGTGCTGCATGTAGGGAATGAGGCATCCCACCAACCAAGGTGCTGGGGTGCTGCAGGTGTGAAGTGGGGTGTCCCATCCCGTACCCCACCGCCCACGATGGCTGGGTGCAGAGTGGGATCTCCCACCCTGTGTCTCTCCCCACATCCCACCACCAAAGGCTTCTGGGGTGCTGAGGGTGAGGAGCGGGGTGTCTCACCCCTTCTCCCACCCCGTGCCCACCTGTTTTGCTGCTCTGCACCCCTCTCCTGCGCAGGCTGCGGTCCAGCAGCTGGTGGGTGCGTGTGGGGCTGGCCCGGGCCATCAGCCTGGCAGTGGCTTCATGCAGGAACACCTGGATGGGGGGGGACAATGAGCACGGTCGGGGGTGCAGGGCATGAGAGGACCCACCAGGTGACAGGCTGGGGGGCTCACCCGGCGCATGGCGGGGCGGAGGGTCTGTGCCAGGCGCCTCAGGCTGCTGAGATCCTGCTGGAAGCCGCGGAGCTCCAGGGCAGACGCCTGATAGAGGCAGCTGCGCTGCTGGCTGGCCCCCATCTGCTGCTGCCACAGGTTGGTACGGGTGACCAGGAGCAGGTCACAGAGCAGGAGCTGGACTGCCTGGAGGGACGAGAGGAGCTGGGTGAGCAGAGGGGCAGGCAGAGGGCTGGGGGGTGCCGAGGAGGTCCCTGCGGGCAGGCGCTGCTGCGCGGGACCCCCGCCGGGCTGCATGGCAGGGGCATTGCACTCCCAGTCTGACACATGCAATGCAACTACAATGCACCCCCGCGAGGGTCGGGGGCACCTCCCGCCAGGGCTGGGGGCTCACGGCCACCTTCTGCCCCCCACCCCAGCTCACCTTGTCGATGGTGGCCTTGGGGGGGCTGCCCAGCTCCAGGCTCTCCCGCAGGCAGCTGCTGGCCTTCTCACAGTGGCCCAGGGTGGCCTGGCTCCCGTCCTGCTTGCTCAGCAAGGCGCGGACAGCTCGGAAGGAGTGCAGGGCAGCGCGGGGAAGGGGCTTCCTGCGAGGTGGAGGGGACATGGTTACTGCAGACCCCTTGCCAGGCATGGTTGTGCCCCTCTCCAACACACACTGAGTGCTCCAAGTGCGTTCAGAGGGGCTGCGCCAACCCAAAGGGGACAGGAGGCACGGCCATCCCCGATGGCCCCTGCACTCACTCAGAGCTCTGCAGTGCCCGGGGCATGGTCTCCACCAGCGGGTAGAGGCGCTCAGCCCCCTCCTCATCTCCCTGCAGCCAGTGGATAACGATGCCAATGAAGGACGCCCACCACTTGGACACGGGGTCGGTGCCTGCAGGGTGGAAAGGACATGGGAGCAGGGTGTCCCCACTCCCATGGCCCCCCTACATAAAACCTCCCCAGTGGGGGACACACCAGCCTCACCTGTGACAGCCGCCAAGCCAGAGGTGATGGAAGGCGTGGGGCCAGGTGTGCCACTGGCATCCGAGCAGCCATTGAGCAGCTGGAGGTACTCGAGGGCATCAGAGAACCGCCTGCGGGAGAGGGGCTGTGAGGGGCCTGGCCCTATGCCAGGCTGGGGTGCAGGGTGCCCACCCCAGCACTCACCCCTCTCCCTGGGCAGTGGGGCGGCCAGGCTCGGGGATGGCCACGCAGCACAGTGCCTTCTCCAGGAGGTGCTCACGGAAGAGCTGGGTCACCTGCGCCAGCGGGTCCACTGGGGTACAGAGAGGGGATCAGTGGGTGTGTCAACACCCAAAAATGGGGAGTGTGGGGCTTTGGGAGTTTGAGGTCACCTGGGTTGCCAGCAGAGCTGTAAATGGTCTCCCTGGGGACACCCTTGACTGCCCAGTCCCCATCAACGAAGAAGCGGTGGCCCAAGGGGTGGCAGAGCCACTGCATGGCAGGGGGCACAGCTCCACCGTGGGACAGGGCCACACGCCGGGCACTGCAGAGGAAGGGGCGCTGCAGGGAGAGCAGGAGGTCAGGGGGAACTTGAGACCCCAAACCCAGGGGACAGAGGGGACCCCCACTAACCCGAACTCACCGCCAGGAAGTGGAAGCAGCGGTGCAGGCTGGCCTTGATCCGCAGGGCGGCTGCCACGTAGATCTCAGCCAGTGCTGCCACAGAGATGGCATCACCAGCACACTCGGCCAGGTTGACGGCACTCAGCGCCAGGTTGATGGCCAGCAGGTGCCCCCCAGCCTGCTTCCCTGTGGGAATGGGGACAGGAGGTTCAGGGATGGGGCTTGGGGGCTCAGGGAAGATGCAGGGTGCAGGGGTGCCATCCCTCCGCCCGCCCCGAGGCGCGGGGCCGTACCGGCGAGGTGCAGCTGGTGCAGGCGGTGGTAAGCCATGGCGGCGTCGCGGGCACTCTGGCGGACGTGGGCAGGGGGTGGGGGGTCCGGGCGCAGCCCCCCGGCGTGGGCAGCCAACCAGCGGCCCACCCAGAGGCGCTGGAGCAGGTGGCGCAGGAGGGTCCAGAGCAGGCTGCACGCCAGGTCCCCGTGGGACGCCGGCAGCGGCCGCCCCAGCGCCCCGAGCGCCGTCCGCAGGTGCTGGGCCCCCTGCGCGAAGTCCCCCTGCGGCCCCGGAGACAGAGCGTCAGCGTGGGCAGGGCCGAGGGGACAGGGCGGGTGGGACAGGGGACATCACGCAAGGTGGGACTCACACGGTCGAGGTCCAGGTCGGCCTGCCGGCGGTGCCGCCAGAAGAGGATGGAGGGCTCGGAGTGGGGGCGGGTGACGGGCTCCCCGCAGACGAAGAGCCGCACCACCGCCCCCAGCACCAGCGCCGCGTTCAGCGCCCAGAAGGCCAGCGTGGGCCACAGCCACTGTGACCACCCCCACGGCTCCTCTGTGCAGAAAGGGGGTCAGCACCACCCTGCCCATGCTGCCCTGTGCCCACCCCAGGGTCTCCATCCCAGTGGCTTTCACCCTGTGTGCCCACCCAAAGAGCCTCCACCCAGTGGTGTCCATCCCAACAGACTCCACCCAATGGCCTATGCCCCATGCCCACCCCAGGTTTTCTATTCTGGTGGCCTTCACTCTGTGACCACCCCAACAGCCTCCACCCAATGACCTCTGCCTCGTGTCTACCCCAGCATCCTCCACCCCAAACACCTCCCATCTCAGATCTACCACAGCCCCTACCACACATGCACCCCAACATCCTGCACCCCGATGGTCACCTCAATGGCCTCTAGTTTATACCCACCCTGACAGTCTCCAACCCACACCCATCCCAGCAATCTCCATCCCAATGGCCTCCACCCTGTGCCCACCCCAACAGCCTGCACCTGTATGTCCCCCCCACCAAGAGCCCCCACCCCAGAGCTTACCCACAGTGCCAGACTCAGCCATGATGCTCCTGCTGGGGCCGGCAGTGTCTGGGCTCCCCAGAGGGCCCGGGGAGCTGGAGCCCCGCAGGAGGGAGGCCAAGGGGTTGAAGGAGAGGCAGAGGAAGACGAAGGTGCAGAGAGCCATGCGGGAGCGGTCCAGCATTCCCTGGCTGCTGGGCGAGGGTGGCGGGTGCTCCTGCTTCACCTGAGTGGGCAGAGCTGCTGTGAGCCCCAGGCACGGGCACGGATGTGAGGGGATGGGGCACAGGCGTGTGATACACGAAATGGACACGGATTTTGGTGTACAGGCAGGGGGCACAGAGTAGATTTTGGGGTGCAGAGCATGGGGTGCAGCCCAGTACACCCCAGAATTGCCCCAAAACCCCCAAATCGGGTGACGAGCAGCCTCAGAGAGCAAGACCGGGCTCTCAGCTCCTATCCTCAGCTGGCACACTTTGCCCTTGGCACCCCTGGTGTGAAGCAGCTCTCCCTCACCTTGCCATGGTTGCAGAGGGGGCTGTCGGGTTCTGAGTCGCTGCTGCTGTTGCTGCTGCCCCCACTGAGAGAGAGGGGGCTGCTGTGGGATGGCGAGCCTGCGTCCGAGGGCGGCGGCGTCAGCATCTCCATCACCTCCGTCTTCACCACCTCCATGGGGGCCTCCGCCTTGGCCCCCCCGCTGCAGTGGGTCCCCAGGTCCTTCAGGGGCTCTGTGACAAGCACAGCAAGCTAAAGGGTGCTGGGTGGCACAGATCACAGCCCCCCATCCCAAGACCTGCCCTTCCACTCACGGTTCTTCTGCACGGCCATCTTCAGGGCGAGGTTCTCCTGCTTCAGCTTCTGGTTGCTCTGCTGCAGGAAGCGAATGTACTCAATGGCCTTCCTCAGGATCGCCGACTTGTTGAGCTGCCGGTGGGCATGGATGGCTCAGGCCAAATGCCGGGTGAAGACCCCCCACAACCGGCCCCTGCCCCACTGCCCCCCGGCTCCCACCTTGGCCTCGGTGCCCACCACCAGGTCCTTGAGCTCCACGATCTTGTCGTTGATGGAGGAGCGGTAGCGCTTCTCGATGGCGTTGTGGGCCGTGCGCTTCTCCCCCCGGCTCTGCACCAGCGCCGGCTTCCCGCTGGGCGCCAGCCGGTTGATGGGCAGCTTATCCGCGTCCACCACCAGCGGGACTGTGGCCAGGATGGTCCCTCCGCTCACCAGCGCCTGCAGGGATGTGGGGTGGGGTCAGTAGGGTTCCTGGAGCATCCCCCTCCTCGGGGCTCCCGGCGATGGGGACCTACCGGCACCTGGAGCGGGGTGGCAGAGCCGCTGGCACTGGTGGCCAGGGAGGCGATGGTGGAGGTCTTGGCGCTGCCAGCATCCGTCTTGACGGCCGTCAGCACCAGGGAGTCAGCCTTGATGAAGTGGGGCTGCAGCAGAACCTGAGGGGCAGGGGGGATCAGCAGGGCTGCAGGGGTCACTGGGATACCCCACCCCTGGCCCGGGGCTTACCGGCACTGGCTGGATCTGGGGAGAGACGGACTGGGTGGTGGGGGCAGCAGGGGCGAGGAGCTGCTGGGGTGCCACGCTCTGCATGGGACCGGGCAGCGCCACGGGCTGGCTGGGCTGGGAGGTGGGCATGGGGCTGGGCAGGGTCTGCCCTGCACCTCCAGGCTGCACAGCTGGAGCAGAGTACAGCGTTAACAGACCCTCAACACCAGCAGGGCACATCCCCCTTCCACAGAGACCCCCAACCACAACAACCCCCACCCAGGGAGCCCCAACCCCCCCCCTGCATCTTCAAATCCTCACCGGAGAAGCTGTGCTGGTTCTGGTAGCCCACCAAGGGCTGGGGGGTGAACTGGCTGGGGGATGTGGGGACGAAGTTCGGGGTCAGCATCACACCGGGCTGGGGCTGGGGCTGGGCTTGGCTGCTGGGCACGGCCGAAGACTCCTCCTTGACACCCAGGGATGGCACCGGCAGGAGCGGGGCCGGGGGCTGCGGGGGGAAGGTCGCCATCCCGGGGGGCCCCGCGTAGGCGCTGCTGGTGGGGGTGGCGGGGGGAGGATTGCTGGGACCCAGGTAAGAGCTGACGGTGCCCGGGGTGGAGGGGAGCCCCGCGGGCAGGGCGCTGTCGGGGGCACCGAACGGCGAGTCAAACAGCCCCGAGAAGTCATTGTCCGGCGTGTTGATCAGCTGCAGCATGTCTGCAAAACACACCCCCCTCAGCGCTGTCAGAGCCTGTCCCGCACCTCTCACGGGGAGCCCATGCTGGCCCCATACTGCCCACCCCACAGCTCAGCACGCTGGGGGTGGATCCCCATAATCCAGGTGCAAAATTCCCTGAGAGCCCAGGAATCCACTGTGCCCTGCTCCTCTCAGCCCCTCCCTGCCAGTGGGGAAACTGAGGCAGGATGATCACAAGGGGAGTGCTGCAGTCTGGCCACAAGCATTTGGGGTTTTCCAGTCCTGTCTAGGGGTGCCAAGGTGGATCTCAGCCTGCCTCTGAGTTTGAGGGGTGCTTGTTCCAGTTAATTCATTTATCCTGTACTGGGAACCCCTACAACCCCCAAATCGCTCCTGTATCAAGGGGAGGGGTTGCTCAGGCTGTGACCGGGGGTGACATCTCCTGGATGTGCCAGACCCCAGTGCCAGGTATGTTGATCACAACAACCCTCAGGAAGGCAGCCGGGCAAGCACGGGGTTAAAACAGCATCGGAGGGTTCTGTCCCGTTCATCAGAACCTGGGCGCCCCGGGGTGTCCCACAGACACGCCCCAACAGCCACACATTGCTCTGACATCCACACACTGGGGTCTCCAGAGAAACCCCCACTGAGGTGTCCTGGGATGCTCCCACCAAAGCACTCAGGGATGCCCCCATCCTGGTCCCCCCCCCTTCGGCGCACCCCCTCGGGGACACACAGACCCCAGGATGCCCCCACCCTGGTACCCCTAAGGCACCCCCACAACACACAAGCCCGGGATGCCCCCACCGAGCCACACAGCCCCCGAACAACCCCCCACGGGGTGCAGAGGGGCCACGGCGGTGACCCTGCCGGGCGGGGAGGAGGCGGCTGGCGGGGCGGGGGTACCTTCGAAGGTGCACTCCACGCAGGTGGGGGCACGGGGGTCCCCAGGAGGAGGCTGCGGTCCCCGCTCAGCCCCGTGCCGGGCGGCGACGAGGCCCCGGGATATTTTAAAGCCATGTTCTCGCCTCCTCCCCGGCGCCCTCCCCGCGCTGCCAGCGCCAGGGCTGGAGCGCGGCCGGCGATGGGGTGATGCGACTCCGCCAATCGCCGCCTGAGCGCCCGCCGGCCGCCCCCGGACAGCCCCCGGCGCCCAAGGTGAGCCCTGCACCGGGTTACTCCCGGGCATCCGCCGCAACCCGCCCGCGGTTACTCGGGGTCACACTCCGTTAACCCCCTCGCCCCGCGCCCCATCGCCCCCCGCACCCCCCAGCCCGATGGGACCCTCCTCACTCATTCATTGCCCAGGATTCGCCCCGCAAGGACCGGGTGCTCTGTTTCTCCCAAAAAAACATCCGCACCTTGCTCTTCACAAGTGGGTGTCCTTCCAGGGGGGCTCCCAGCCTCACCCCTCTCCACCTCCCCTGCTCAAGGGGCGCCCAAAGCTCCCCCGTGGTCCAGAGCAAAGTCTGGGGCTGCAGAGAGGGGTGATGCCTCCTGGCCCCCCTTCCTGCTGCCCAGCCTGGAGGTGGGCACGGCTGTCCCAGCCTCCTGGTTCCTACCAGGTATTTCTATCCCGTGGCACCTGCTGCCACACACACATGACACGGGCACCCACCAGTGCCACCTCTACCCGTGGGAGCCCGTGGGGCAGAGCCACACGTCTGTGGGTCCTGGCGGGTCCCAGCAGGCTTACGGCACTCATATCCCCGGGCACACATCCCACATCACCCCGCAGTGGGCACGGGGGCGAGGAACAACCGTGGCCACCCAGGGACTGCCAACAATCCCATTATGGGGAACTGTGGGGCACGAGGTGGCCCGGCTGGCCATGACACAAAGGAGCGTGGCAAAACTCCAGGGTGGGAAAAACTCATCCCATACAGCACCACTCAGCCCTGGCACGGCTCCCGCTTCCCTGCCCACGCCAAAACCTCGTCGAGAGAAGCAGGTGGCACCTGGACCTGTTTTGATCCGCCCCGATTGCCACCGGGATGAGCTTCCAGACCTGGGATGCCACCTCCACCCCAGATCCCGGAGGAGAGATCCCCACGGATCTCGCGGTGGGGCAGATGTGGGAGGGTTTGGCCGGCCCTGTGCCCGCCTCACCGCGTGCTCCGCCGGCCGTGCCGGATGGTGCGGACCTGCAGGGCCGGTGGAGCATGAGGCGAGGTGGGCATAGAGCTCGCCAAGGGCTGGGCTCCCAGACATTTTGGGAGCTCCCTCGTCTTTTGCTAAAGCCATGGAATCGCTGAACTCAGCACATGTGAGCCCCCAGTGCCACTGGGGTGGGTGGAAGTGGGTCCCCTCCGAGAAATGGGTCCCTTGGGGAAGTGGGTCCCCTCCGGGAATGGGTCCCGTTGGAGTTTCCCCATCCCACGGACCCCCCAAAGCGGGGAGGAGGTGGGTGCTGGTGGATGCCAGCCCCAGGGCCGGAGCGGAGCCCTCCCACGCCAGCCCATGCCGGTTGGATGGGTTGGAGGAACCCAGGCGTCCTGGAGGGAACGACCGAGAGTAACCCCGACGGTGACGTCACGGAGGGGCGGGGCCACCGGAGACACGATGCTGTGACCGGGAACGGGAGGGGATCGTCGGGGCTGTCCCGGTATCGGCACCTCCATCCCGGGGATCCCGGTGTCCTGTGCCCCCCCATCCCGAGCCCCCGCTATGGACCGGCCCCCGGTAACGGAGTCAGCCCGGTCCTGCACCGACCCCGCGCTCCAGCAGCTCGGTGTTCCCCCGCCCCACGCCGGGCCCGGCACCGACACCGGTCCGCCGGCCGTGCCCCGAGTCCCGGTTATGCACCGACCCCACCAGCCCCGGCTACGTCCCGGTATGAAGTTCCCTGGCCATGCACCGAGCCTGGACTCCCCGGCCCTGGCCATGCAGGAGCGCGGTCCCGACCATGCACCGAGCCCCGGTTACACCCCCAGCGCGGTCCCGGCAACGCACCGAGACCCGGTTCTGCCCCTAGCTCGGTCCTGACCGTGCACCGAGCGTGGTTATACCCCCGGCCTGGTCCTGGTTGTGCCCCAGCCCCGGTTGTACCCACAGACCGCGCACCGAGCCCCGACATCGCACCGTGCCCAGCCCCCGACCATGCACCGAGCCTGGGTATCCCCCAGCGCGGTCCCGGTCGTGCCCCCGTTCGGTCCTGCTCATACACCGAACCGCAGTTCTGCACCAAGCCCAGCCCCCCGGCCGCGCACCGAGCCCCGGTTACCCCCCAGCCCGGTCCCGGTTGTGCCCCCAGCCCCGGCCATGCCCCATCCCGGTCCCGCCGGGACGCACCGTCGATGTCGCTGAGCAGGGCCGTGTCGATGTCGCTGGTCCCGGAGAGGCCGAGGGACGGTGCCAGCCCCTCCAGGCCCGCGTCGTCGAAGGCGAGAGAGCTCATCCCGGCGGCTCCGGTGGCTCCCGGCGGCTCCGGGGGGCTCGGGCGGCTCTAGGGGTGGCGGGGCCGCCCGCCCGCCACGGCCGCGCTGGTCCCGGCACAGGCACCACGGGGACGAACGGCCAAGTTGCTGCCGCGAACCGTGCCCGGAGCTGCCACCGGGAGGGGAGGGCGGCGGGGATGGAGGGAGGCGTGTCCGCAGCCGCGTCCCGCCCCGCGCCGCCTCCCCGCACCGCCCCGCCGCACCGGGACCCCCGCGGCACCGAACGGGGACCCTCGGGGCACCTGGTAGGGACCCCGCTGCACCGGGAAGGGAGCTGGTGCACCAGCACCGGAGCAGGGAGCAGGGCAGGCACTGCAGCCCCTGAGCAGGGCAGAGTCCCCTGTGCGGATGTCACCAATGCCTGGAGATGTCACCGACCTCTAGAGATGGGCACCAAGCCCTGGGAAAGTCACCGACCCCTGGGAATGGGCAGCAAGTCCGGGGAAAGTCACCGATCTCTGGGAATGGGCACCAAGCCCTGGGAGCAGACACTGAGCCCTGGAAAAGTCACTGACCCCTAGGGACATCACCAAGCCCTGGGGATGTCATCCACCCCAGGGGACAGTCACCAAATCTCTGGGGACAGTAACCAAATCCCTGGGCTGGGTCCTAAACACCTGGGCTGAGCATTAAATCCCCCTCAGCTCCAGACAGGTCGCACAGAGAGCAAGCAGGGTGGCTGGAATGGGCAGGAGGTGGTGCCTTAGGACCTCATGGAGGCCACGTGCTGGGGTGAGCTTGGGCCACCGTGTCACCTCCTGAAGGCCCTGTGGCTTCCAGGCTGTGGGCATCTGCCTTCCCCATCCCAGGTCCAAGGTTTGGAGCACATCCCAGCTCCACTGCCCATCCATGGCATGGCCCAGAGTGGGAGAAGCTCCCATGCACCCAGTTATGGACACACCAGTGCTACCCCTGAGCCCCAGATGAGCCACATCCTTCCAGGTGCCACCAGTTGTGGGATCCAGGAAAAACGCTGGTGTCATTGGCATCAGCACCACGGCTGCCCATGGGTGGTGGGTCTCAGTGTGGGAGACTCACAGCAGGGCAATGCCAGGCCCAGTTTCTCCTGCTGCCAGGATTCATTTAGGAAAAGAAAATGCACTGCAACGTCAGCTCCCTGAAGTTTGCCCTCTCCTCTTCCCTGCCACCAAGCACAATCTGAGGCTACCTGGGGATTCATTAAACCTGGCTGCACCTTAAGAAACTCCCTCCAGCCTCACTGGCTCCCACATGGCAGCACAGCAGGCACCCCTCTGCAGTATGGGGATCTCCTGCATGGCACAGGACACCCCGGTGCAACACAGGACTCATGGGGGCCCCACAGAGTACCCTGTGTGTGTGCATGTGGTGGCAGCAGAGCTGGGAGTGCACCAGGGTGCCCTGCAGGTCCCCTCTGCACCCTCACCCCACTGCAGCCTCCTCACTCTGGGGACATTGACCTGTGTCCGAGCTGGGGCCGAGCCCAGGCAGTCCTGGCTCAGCTCTTCACCAGCAGCTGGGGCAGCGTCACTCGCACACAGAGGGCACCCCCAGCCACTCGGACATCCCTCAGCACGTCAAACGCTACTATGGAAAACCCTTGGGAGATCCACGACCTGCCACGGGGTGTGCAGGGGGGCCATGTGCTTCCCCCATTTTTACTGGGGTCACCAGGTTTCCCTGGTAGTGGGGTCTCCCTTTCCTTGCAGCAGTCCATGTGCTGCAGGAGGAGAAGGCAAGTTTCCAGGGCTGGGGAGATGGATGTACCATGGCCCTCGTGGATTTAGAGGAGCCTCGTGTGAGCACAGGGGTCAGAGACCTTTAATAACCCACACAAGATATGGGGCACAGCCTTCCCCGCGGGATACGGAGGGGGAAAATCCCACCCATAAACACGAGGGAGGGAAATCACACACATAAACATGGAGGAGGGGAGTAACACGCACAAACGCGGCTTTATTTTTGCATAAACTGCATGAGAAGCCGGATTTTGCCCGGCCCCCTTCCCCGATCCCGATCCCGAGGGTCTGTGCACACCAGGGACCCACACGTGATACTTCCCCTGTTCCAGGGGGGACCACAGCAAAGAGCAGCATCCTCCGTGCACCGGGCAAGGATGAGGCAGCGCGGCGGCTCCGTGGGCCAGATTTGGGAGGTGATGGATGACACGCGGGGCGGGGCTCCCGGGGGTGCGCTGGGTTGCGGGATAGGGAAAACCCCGCCCGTAGGACCAGGGCCACGCAGCCAATAAGCGCAGCAGCCCGGAGTGGAGTGATTCTACATCACGGCTCAGGGCCCGCGATTACATCATGTCGGTCCTGCGGGGATGGCGGGCGGGCCACGTGGTCGCTCCGGAGTCACTGAGACATTTTCCTGAGCGCAAGGCTGGGAGGAAACCGCAGGGATGGATGAGACAGAAAACAAACCGGCCCCGGGATGGTTGGGCTCTGGCCACCGAGCCGGCCGGGCCGGCTCATGCGGCTCCATAGGTCTCGCCAGTGGAGCATCACCCCGAGCTGCACCGGCGGCGGCGACAGCTCCAGGACGGGCTGTGCCTGAATGTGGCAGCCCCAGGCACCCTGCGCGGAGCATCCCCACATCCCGCTGCCCCCTCGCTCAGCCAGGTGGGCCCCCTGGAAGTGAGCCCCCTGGAAGTGAGCCCCGGATGTTTCCCACGTGCCAGGACACCTGAACCCTGCGCTGAAAGCAGCGGGACGTGCTCCCAGTCTGTGGCATCCCGCCTGCTCCGGGCTTGTTTTGTTAAGGCAGAGCGCGGCGTTAATCATTAATTTGTGTCGCAAACAGATTTAAAGCCTCTCCTTCACTGCCTGTAACTCTGCTTTGCCAACTGCCCCTTCCCAAGCCATGGCTTGGGAAAACAGTAGCCAGGCGTGATGTCACTCCAGTGCAGCCTCTGCTCCAGGTTTATTTACCCCGAGGTGAAATGTGAAAAGGCAAATGCACATGTGGCCATTTCCAATTCCCACTGGGATCCAAAACTGCTCCCCAGTGCCAAAAAGCAGTGACATTCACCCTGCCCAGGCCTCTGCCCATATGGGGGTTGGTGCCATGTGCTCTGTTGGTGGAGGGCAGTGATGTGTGGAAGCTCTCAGCCCAATGCACAGTCTTTGCAGGAGCAGGTTTGGAGATGAGAAGCCCATCAGGTTTCACAAACCTGGGGAATCCATGCTTGGTTTGGGGAGCTGGATGACCAGTGGTTGGGGGGAGCACACATGGGAAAAGCAAGTCCCCACATGCTTGTTCTGCACTTACAGTCTTCCCTTTGCACCCACTTTGGACCCTGTTGGAGGCAGAATTTGGGGTTAGAGGGATCTTTGGCTCATGTGTGTAACTGTGGGGCTGCAGAGGACAGTGTGATGGAGCAGCCCTCCCTTCCACAGCCCCCCAGCACAGCACTGGACATTTCTGACCTGGTGCTCTTTGTGTGATTTCTGCCCTCTCAGGGCAGCGGCAGCTCCACACCTTTCCCAATTATCCAGGCCAGGAACCACCCTGGATGTATCCAACAGCAAACCAGGCACATGATCAGTGCAGGGTAAACAAGCTGGGGCAGGGCTGGTTTAATGTTAATATGTGGCCACAGGGAGAGAAACCCATCTTTCCAGCTGTTCCACAACCCCTTCCCCAGCTTTAAACCATCAGCTTGGATCTCCACGGGCAGGATGGAGGGCACCATTCTGACAAACTGGTTTGGGTTTGGCCAGTGTCACTTTTTCAGGGTTCCTAAGTTGATCCTCTCTCCCTTATCCTCTGCCCATCAAAACCACCATCATAATGGGGATGTTGGAACAAATTCCTGACTGATGAGTCAGGGAAGTGGCCCTTGGATGGGCTGGGAACATCACCCGTGTGCAGTGCTCAATAACTTCTGACCCATCACTTTCTAGGTCACCAAGGCCAGTGATCCACAGTTGTCCTCCAAGGACCATCAGGCAAACCCTTCAAGGTGGGGTTTGCACCCCACCACGCACCCAGGTTGTCACCCGTGCGCCTGCCTGGTGTCAGCCTCAAAAGATGTGCCAGAATTTAGTGGGGAACGAATCTACCAGCAGTGGTAACGCAGCACTGCACACAGCATGACCCACAAAGAGCACCTGCTGGGGACAGCACTTCTCCCAGTGGGAATACCGGGGTTCTGTCATCTGGAGGAGACTGAGGACTCCCAGTTTCGACATCTGATGGGCACCCAAGAGCCGCACGTGTCCCCTGTACTCACTTATTCCCTGTGCTCAGGCCGGGCAGTGGAGCCGAGCGAGTCCCCAGCTGACACAGACAATAGCACCCCCAGCTCACACTAATAGTGTATTTATTGGAATATCTCACATGCAGGAACCAAGGAGATGATTTCTGGAGCAAGTTAAACAATGGTAGATTAATACAGTTGTCTTGTCCCTAATGGAAACACTTTCTATGTGAATACAGCAACGTTTTAGTGTTGGGTTTCTCTGCTTTTTGTGTATTTTGTTTCTCTTTACATAGTCGATCTCTTTAAACAGTTACGTCCCCTTTCTCCCCCTACCCCATTCCCAAACAAAAAAATATCCAGTATCTTCAGTAAATAAATATTATCCACTTTTATCTGGAAAGCCTACAGCTGTAATATACAGAGAAGCTATTACACAGGTTACGTTTGTAGGGTTAACAACAGCTCATAGGAACACGTATGGAATGAGGAGCTCGTACTCATAAAAACACGGAGCAGGGTGGGAAGTTTGGAGCGGGTTTGCCGTGGGCTAAAGAGAACCGGCACCAGAGCTCAGTGCTGCTCGAGGCCAGTTGGCTCTTGGTGATGCAGCCTCAGCTCTCTCCAGGTGAGGAGGAGGCGTGGGGAGCCTGGGGCTGGAGCAGACAGGCACAGCCCGCTCCGGAGGCTGCGGTTTGGGAGGAACGGGTGGAAGGTGCTGCGTGGGCACCTGGCAAGGGGACTCCTGCCTCGCCTCCTCGGCTGGTGGGAGCCCCCAGCAGTGGAAGGGTTACCTCCGAGATGGCTCTAAATCCACTCACTGCTTCATTATTTCCATAAAAATAACTGTCCTGAGCTGTTTTTTTCCAGGGGAGGCTCCGCAAGCCTTGTGGTTAAACTTGAGGAGGTAAACAATGACGGAGCTGGGCAGGGATGGACG